TAAATACATAAATAAATAAATAAATAAGCTTGCAAATTAAAACATTCAGCTCACCTGCCTGAAAACAAAGATTATTGAAGTTTTGATGAAACACTTGAAAAAGTCCTCTTTTGACCTTTATGTTTCAGGCAGGTTTAACTGTAGGAATATCAGTTTGAACTGGTCACAGAAAATTWGATTTTATGTGTCTGAACTGACAACTTTGTGTATTTTATGATTTTTTTACTCACAATTTTATCCTTTAAAAAACGTTTTAACACATCCAATTATCAATAATTGTCCACACTAATGTTTTAGCTGTCTACACATTTCAAACTCTTCTGTCCCAGGATGACAGAGCTCCTCAAATCAGGAAGTGGCAAACACAGGTGTGTCGTTATAATTATAACGAACCACTAACACCAGATTTAACATTGATTTTGCATTTCTTTTTTCTTATTCAGTTCATACGTCAAAAATTTTGATTTTTCTTATTAATCAGTTTGTTGGAATTCTGGGCTGTTGTGAACTCAAGTTTGACCCAGGTTACATTCTTTCACTCCTTTATTTGTTCAAATATGTACAAATCAAAATGTCACATTACATAGCAATGTTTGAAGCTCTCCCTTTGGTGCTGTACAAGGTTACTCTGTGCTAGCCTTTCTACTCACCAAAGCYGCGTTAAGGACACTTCGCTAACAGATTCCACATGATATGAAAATATGTCTTGATTCCATTGAAAAACAATTGACGTTTGATAAATCTAAAGCGGTACAGCAGAGTTGTTATTCCACATTTTGAAAAACAGACAAAATAGTCAGAGTGCACGATCTTTGCCCACACGCAGAGCAAATACCTCGAAGTCCAAGCGTTTCTTCCAGCAGTGATTCAACACGGAGTCAGGGGGRAGAAAGAACTATATTAATATTTGAGACAAAATTAAACAAAAGCTTCATGAAGTTTGGTGGCTCTGTGTTCCTCCAAAACCCTAAAAGTAACCCAATTTATTTTCTGCCACGTCACACAAAAGAATGAGACCAGGTTGTTACAAGAACCCTGTCGCAGKTCAGTCTGTCCGAGGTCTGAAACAGCCACGAGGGAGGGAAGAAAAATAAGCTTTAGTCAGACAGGAAATGGGGTTTCTTCAGTTTSTGAGCTTATCAAAAAGGGAGGGAGGGTGGGTGAGTGGGGGTCCCCATCACTTCATGTCCCCCGTGCCCTGCGCCTGAGCTGCAGTCGTGCTGAGGTACTGCCAGCTGAGAGCGGCCAGCAGCACGCCGGCAGACAGGTACATTGGAGACAGGTGGTGGGTCCTGGTGGAGAAGCCGGACTGCGTCAGGGCGGACTTCTCCTGGATCACAGCCAGGATGTGCAGAGTTTTGCTCCTGGACGGATCTGTGAGGGAGACCTTCTGAAGAATCTGCAGAGAGGGAGATTCAGATGTAGCATCGTGACAGCGGAGAGGTGTAACTGATGTGGAGGCAAACACCCACCTCCTGACTGTACTGGGTGATAATGGTCTGCACAGCTATCATGTTGGTGGCCTCCATCATGAGGGTGACCGCCTGTCCCTTTCTGATCTTCACCACACCCTGGAACACCATGGGGTTGTTGTAGCACGTCGACAGTGTCGCTATCGCCATCACCTGGGTGGAAGAGGAACAACGTGAATCAGGTGGAAGAAATCAAAAGAAACAAACTCGTCTCTCCAATAAACTCACTGTATTTATTCATGTATAATGCACCTAGAGGGTCATGCAAACCCCATTTGTTTGAGCTTAAAGGCACAGTGTGTAGGATTTGTTGTTTTCAGCGACATCTAGTGGTTGAGTGGTTGAATCATCCTCCCTGGT